TCAAGATTCCGGATTACCTCTATGTAGTGTTTCAACTTGTGACGTGCGTCTAATCTTCGTATCACTGCAACCACTAAACCTGAACCAAAACCCTGTGGGCTGTGGCCCATAAAATTCCCTGGTCCTACCATAGTCTAACAAATGATTGTAGGCACAGGTTTTACACATCCTAGAGCAAGGGGTAACTCGAATCTTCACTCAAGATGGAATCACGAGTGTAGATTATAGTAGGACAAAAGTCCTTATCGAAGACTATATGTTGAAAACTTGAAATTTTGCACCACATGACGACCCATATCATTGTACAGTGGACCAGGAGAATTTTAGATTTATTCTAGTACGTATCTTATAGGCTCGGGCGTTAGCTTATTTGGACACATCGTATTTATCTGTGTAGACAATGAATTGTGAATGAGGAACCGTATTCTGCAATGACTGGAAAGTGGAAACTGACTTACTGGATGCCAACCAGTTAAGTGGTCCACACATCACTAATCATAGATGAAACTTCACCTTTCAATCATGACAAAGTCCATTATTGGTTATTATTGATCATAGTTCTTTTGTCTCTTGTTCTGGATCTCGCTTCTGGTACATTTGTTCATGGCATTCTGCCCACGTCACATGTATAATTAAAATTATGGAAATCAATTGTTAAATTATTCGTAATATACTAATTTCAATCAAACTATGGAAAGTCTGTTTTAATAAAGTATCTCGAGGAGCCTTGGCAATGCAGCCCAATCTAGTCTAAGGAGTAGTGAGACTGTGAAAGTTGTAGCAAAGGAAAAAAACTTTCACCAGTTTCTTGAATGAGAAACGGATGTTGGTGAAGAAAGGCGTGACAGATTACTTTGTATACATACGAAAGAGAATGGATGACTTGAAAAGGTTTCCATAGACAGAGAAGTAGACCACATAGCGAGCTTACAATTTGACGGATCGGAGAACCATAGTATTAGGGCCATAGATGATGAAAATGATCAAAGTTGAAAAGGAGAATGGTACTGCTAAATATTGGCGGAGTCCAGTCAGAGGCGGAGCCAGTATTTGAAGCTTATTGGTTCGGGTTTCTAGTTCTTTTAAGTTACTGGGTTCTACAATAATAATTTATACATATTCCATGAATTTTTCAAGACAAATACAGAGTCTGCACAAAAGCTACTGGATTCGGCCGAACCCGTAAGCAGAAGGTTAGCTCCTCCCCGGAGTCCAGCAATCTGTGTATAAAAGGGAAGGATCCAACTGAAACAGTAGTAGTGATTCATGCTATACCCTTCTCACCATGGTTCCAATGCTACTCTCTTGGTCACTAAACTGTTCTCCTTGAGACACTTATATAATTGTCACTTAGCCAATTAAGTGATGCCCAAGGAATGAAGGTGGAGTACGATGATCCCGTTGTACAAGAACAAAGGAGGTATTCAAAATTGCAATAATTATAGGGGTATCCAGTTACTTAGTCACACGATGAAAGTGTGGGAAAGGGTGGTAGAAGCGAGGGTTAGAAAGACAATGTCTATTTCTGAGAACCAGTTCGGTTTCATGCCGGGACGTTCGACTACGGAAGCCATCCATCTTGTTAGGCGAATAGGAAAAAAGATTTGCATATGGTGTTTATTGACCTAGAGAAAGCGTACGAGAAGGTCCCTCCGGAGGTCCTTTGGAAATGCTTGGAGGCTAGAGGTGTTCCTATAGCGTACATTAGAGAGATTAGGGACATGTATGCTGGAGCTAAGACTCGGGTGAGGATAGTGAGAGGAGATTCGGAACATTTTCCGGCTAGACGTGAGGCTTAATTCACAAGTCATCCCCAAGAGAGTAAGTTTCAAGTATCTCGGGCCAGTTATCCAAGGGGACAGGGAGATTGATGGGGATGTCACACACGGTATAGAGGCGGGGTGGATATGGAGGCTAGCATCTGGCGTTCTGTGTGACAAGAATGTGCCACCAAAACTTAAGAGTCAGTTCGACAAGGCGGCGGTTAGACTGGCTATGCTATATGGGGCAGAATGCTGGCCAGTCAAGAACTCTCATATCGAGAAGATGAACATAGCCGAAATGAGAATGTTGCAATAAATGTGTGGGCACACTAGATTGGACAAAATTAGGAATGAAGTTATTTGGGAGAAAGTGGGTGTGGCCCCTATGGAAGATAAAATGCATGAAGCGAGGCTTAGATGGTTCGGGCATGTGAGAAGGAGAAGCCTAGATGCTCCAGTGAGGAGGTGTGAACGGCTAGCGCTGGCAGGTAGGAGAAGAGGTGAGGGCGGCCTAAGAAGCACTGGGGAGAGGTGATCGGGCAAGACATGGTGCGACTTCAGCTTACCGAGGACATGGCGCGACTTCAGCTTACCGAGGACATGACCCTTGACAGGAGGCTATGGAGGTCTAAGATTAGGGTAGAAAGGTAATAGGTCGTCGTGTATTTTTCTGGTCTGTTCCAGGTTTATTAGGGCTAGTTGACTAGTACATTGTCTTCGATTCTTAGAATGCTAGTATTAGGGTTATTTTAGTACTATCTTCCGCTTCGGTTTTCTAGCACCCTGTCGTGTTATTGCTTGTGGATATTACTTTTGATATTGCTATTGCTACTGCTCTCTTCAATTTATTTTTCTCCGGTCCTTGCATTGTTGATATCATTTTCTTGGCCTTGTTTTTATTTACTTATTCCTATTCTTCCTCTCGAGCCGAGGGCCTTTCGAAAAAGTCTCCCTGCCCTCCAGGTTAGGGGCAAGGTCTACGTACATATTACCTTCCTCAGACCCCACTTGTGGGATCCCACTAGGTTGTTGTACTTAGCCAATTATGCAGCAAAGAGTGAAAATGAAAAAAAGATTATATAAAAGGAGAATTGGATCGGATCCAATGATGAAATTGGCTTGCCAAAAGATGCTTAACTAGTTAATTAAGGGTAGGGGTGTCAATGGATATTTAAAGACCGACTAAAACGACCGAACCGTACCATACCGAACCGATTGTTAGGTTTCTTTTAATAAAATCGTAGCTTTTTATGTAAATCTATAACCGTACCGATAATTAGGATAGGTTCTTTTTATTTTATGAAAATAAACCGAAAAATACCGAACCGTACCGAAAAAATTTACATGTTAAAACTATATTTATATATTAAGTTTAAAAATAATAAAGCATTTAATTTTTCTTGGTTCTTGTAATTATGAAAATAGTTACAAGCTAACAAGTAATTAAACACAAAATCTTAATTCCCAAACCTATTATGCTACTCCTATAAAAACTAAATTATTTTCAGTATATTCACTAGCAAGACACAAGGTATTGTAGCGATTATGAGTAGCAAACTACAATGTATTATGTTTCCTCTCGTTTGATTTAGATTTATCTTTTTAAATATTTAATCTTCTATAGACTTAATTCTTGAGTCTCAGTCTCAACTTGATTAATATATTTCCACTCGTGTGATTTATATTTTCTTTGTATTAATTTGCTTAATTTTTTGACGCTACGGTAGAATATTGATGGATCTATACTCTAGCCATCTTTCATATTTTCTTAATTCATCACCCTTTAAAATGTAAAAATGTTTAGAGAGTTTTACTAAGTCCTATAAAAGTACGTATGTTACTGTATTTTACTTCTTCTAGTGACTTTTACATGACATTTAAGAAAAACCGAAAATTAACCGAACCGAACCGATACCGAAGAGAAACCGATATAGTTAGGACGGTTTCGAAAAGTCTAATTTTGGTTGTACATAATAGAATAACCGAACAATTGATATGGTACAAAATTTATAAAATAACCGGCCGAACCGAATCATTGACACCCCTAATTAAGGGCAACTAAGATATTATACTACTCCCAAGGATACATTGTTAGTCTAGAATCCAAGTATGTTGCCTATGAAATATAGCTATAGTAAATATCGATAAATGAGGCGAGATAACTATTCTATAAGGTTTCAGCTTCAACGAAATTGCAAAAATATTCAGAAATTCAACCACAACCTAGACAAGCAGAGCTCCAGTCATTTGAAACAAATTATTGTCAACTAGCTAGGGAATCAAACTAAGAAAAATTTGAGCAATAGACCAACTGAAAGACAAAATAGATATTCAGAAAAGAATATTTGAAGTGACCTAATAGCAAAGATGATTTCAATTAGTGAATGTATTAAACCTACCACCTATTTTATGTATACAAATCACTTCTTTATGAATATAGTTAACAAGGCTCAGACAAGACTAATATTAATAGCAGTAAACCAGTAACCACAATTTAAACACGTGATATTACATTTTCAATGTAACCACTTGATCATTGGGTTACTTCCTTAAAAGCAACATGCCAACAAATGTACATACTTCGGTAACTTAGCTTGTAAATAAAGTAACAGCAAAACTTACTATCTTTAGCAGAAATCAACATGATTATGCTCTTAGTTTCTCGGCAACTTAAATAACTCTTTTCTTAGTAAATATCCATTCACAGGGATTATGTTAATCTTCTCTGGACCAGTACAACTCTTGCTCTTTAATAGCAAATACAGTACGTAATCCTTTTAATAGGAATTTTCGTTAATCAGAGATCCCATAAACGAGTTTGATGAGATCTCATGCAAAATCATGTGGCAGTCGGTGGAAATGAAAAAGACAAAAATGGAGAAAAAGGAATCGAAAACGCCTTTATAAATTGTATCCTATGAACCTGTATACGAACAAAGTTGGGTAATATTTTCCGATTAAAGTATTCAATTGAATAATACTGCAGTAACTAACATCAACCGAATAAAACAAATATAACTAAGAAAAATAAAAATTGTTTGATCACAACAAATCAATCAACCGACCTAAGTTTTTATGTCAGAGAATCAAAACCACCTGTTTCATCACCGTCACAAGCGTCCAACAACTGAGTCCACTCATTTTCTCCGCCTCAATTCTCGCCCCACCGCCGCCGCCGCTCATCAGATTCCACATCATGGCCACTCTCTTTCATAATTCGCCTCAATTTTCCGACGGTCACAAGAAGGACGGTGGGTCCTTGCCCAAATCCATTGAAGACTTAGCTGAAACCGGAATCGACGCAAATCTCGACGAAAAATCACGAAACAAACGATCATCTTCCGACTGATCATTTACCCCTGGACCATCATCGAAATTCAAGGAGTAACTTAACGGGTCGTAATTGAATTTATTCGTTTTGGACCGGTTCTTGTTAAACCGGCGGATGAACGTCTTCCATTTAGGACCCGCCACGAGTTCCGACCACTCTCTAACTTTCTTAACGGCATTTATACCCTTATCCCACCAACGGGGTTCTTCCTTTTGATCGTTCGTTGAGATCCGTTCCCATACGCTACGTCCGCACCTTAAAGACGGTAGCCAGAAACAACAGCCTCGTTTGGTAAATTCAAGCTCCTGTAATTCTTCGTTCACGTCGGGTTCTTTTTTGGAGAATTCCGGGTTGGTTTGACCCGCCATGTCGGAAAATTAGCAACAATTGCGACCAATTAAGATAGAATTGAAATTTAAACAGAGGAAGGAGAAGAAAATACCGCAGAAATGATGATCTCTACAAACCGCAGACCCTTTGAATTAGGGCTTTGTGGTTTGCAGAGAAAATGTGGATCTTTACAGAAACCCTAAAGCATTCTCAATTTCTTCCTCGATTTTCTTCTGTGTATTTGTTGTGATTCTATATATAAGGAGAGAAGAATATGAGAATGTTTACAAATTATAACGGAAAAATCGCAGGAATTAAGGGGAACCGGGAAATGCCGGTGACAAATTATGATTGGGACGGTGCTGGTGGTGAGGTGCACACAACTGTTAGGTACACAGCTGGAGCCAACCAATTATTGGGCCGAGGTTTTGTTTGTAATCGTGGCAATGTTTGATTGGAGGAACTGCTAATCAACTGTGGGCCTGTGTCGCGCCTCATAAGATAATGTAATTTCGCCTAGCAATTAACAGGTAGTTTAATTAAAAGTCACCTGTTATTGCCGGTAATTTTAGCAAGGCCTTAAAGTCTTCAACGGTCGAAAATCTAAATCACTTATAGACTTTTCTTTACAAAGACTACAGTTCTGAGAAATAAAGACCCAAATATTGGCCGGACAAAGATTCATTCACATTCAGTGTACGCAAAATAGATAAACATTCGATATAGAGAAATTTTCCTAAAGCCTTGCCGTTGGTTACAAAACGTAATTATAGTTTGCCTAATTATCATTTATAAGTATAGACGTGCAACGAATATAGTCTGTGTCAATTATATTCATTACATGAACAAATACAACCAAGACAAAATACAAAAATACAGAAAAATAGAATATCAACCGAGCTACGAGAGCTTATTGCTCTCTTGTTTCAGTTCAAAACATTTGATTTCTTATTTCAGTACTACACGTGAATTTGCTAAAAAATTCAAATATAACTACGAATGATATTTTTTTTAAAGTATTGTTACGAATGATAAATACAATGTATATATTTATTGTGTCGCATAATTTTCCTATACATTCTCATCTCAATTTATCAACAACAACAACGACCCAGTAAAATCTCACAAGTAGGGTTTGGGGAGGGTAGTGTGTACGCAGACCTTACCCCTATCCCTAAGGAGTAGAGAGCTTGTTTCTGAAACACCCTCGGCTCAAGAAGACGGAAAATACGAGAAGAGAATGGAAGGGACAATATATTAGTACCATCAAACAGAAACCAAAGAAATAATATTAGCATCACAAGAACTATAAAATAGTTGAAATACAATAACAAAACCAGAAAATAAGCCCGATGCTATGAAAACGTAAGGATAGGGAGAACACAATATAAACCCCTAGCAGTCTAAGACCACCCTTATCGAACTAGCCTCACCCCTGGACTCGATTACGTCCTAACCTACAACCATAATGCTCGACCTCCACACCTTCCTATCAAGGGCCATATCCTCGGAAATCTGCAGTAGCGCCATGTCCTCTCTAACCACTTCTCCCCAATACTTCTTAGGTCACCCTCTACCTCTTCTCGTCCCCGCCAGAGCCAAACTCTCGCACCTTCTCACCGGAGCATCATGGCTCCTCCTCCGCACATGCCCGAACCATCTGAATCTCGCTTCCCGTATCTTGTCATCCATAGGAGTCACGCCCACCTTCTCCCGAATAACTTCATTCCTAATCTTATCCATCTTAGTATGCCCGCACATCCACCTCAACATCCTCATCTCTGCCACTTTCATCTTCTAGATATGAGAGTTCTTAACCGGCCAACACTCTGCCCCAAACAACATAGTCGGTCTAACCACAGCTCTATAGAGCTTACCTTTGATTAACGGTGGCACTCTCTTGTCACATGGGACTCCTAATGCTAACCTCCATTTTATCCACCCCTCCCCTACACGATGAGTGACGTCCTCATCAATCTCTCTGTCCCCCTGGATAATCGATCCCAGGTACTTAAAGCTACTTCTCTTGGGGATGACCTCTGCTCCAAGCTTCACGTCCATGCCTACTTCCCCCGACTCGGCGTTGAACTTGTATTCCAGATATTCTGTCTTGGTCCTGCTCAATTGAAACCCTTAGACTCAAGGGTGTGCCTCTAAACCTCCAGCTTGTCGTTAACACCGCATCGCATCTCATCAATCAAAACTATGCCTTCGGCGAATAACATATATCATGGCACCTCCCCTGAATGTGGTGTATCAATGCGTCCATCACCAGGGCAAATAAGAACGGGCTGGTGATAATATATTATTATACTTAGTAGAGACGTTTGTGTAGATAACGTTTTTATATAATGGCAGTTTTAGAAGGCTATTAAAATCAAAACTTGCTGTACTGCAATTCAGATTATAGCATTTTAATAAGCGAATTGTTTTTTCAGATACAAATTATTTGACTTTTTTCTCTCCAATTGGTTAATAATTTCATCATCTTGATATATAATTGCAAATAGTTTATTATTGATTACATTTACATTATAAAACGATGAGAAAAGAATATAGGTCAAGGTATGAAATTGCTCTTATATTAAAGTCATGTTGACGCCCTAGAACAAACGCATATAAGTAAAACAAAATAAAACTACTCATGAAATTTCAAGCATCATCGATTGATTGCCAAAATGAGTTGAATTAAAGAACAGTTGTCGAACCAATTATTGAACTAATAAAGATCAGTGCTTATGTTTTGTAGTGATTAAAATTGCACCTCTATAAAATTCTTGAAGTTCGTAATTTGTACCTAATTGAAATTCTCTTAAGATGAACCAACCTCTATATAAAACTCTTGAGTTCTTTATTTTCAACTAAAGATATTGTATTTATCATTATAAAGTAATACTAACTTTAGTCAACTTTGAGAAACAAAAGAAGGAGAATAAGTCTGTCTTGACTTATTCAGTAGAATAAAGTTCTAAGCTTCATATTCCACCAAACTCTTTGTGTGCCGATATGAGTATAGCTGGAGAAAGCTATCAGTGGCCTGGGGCCTTTGGGGATTATTCTCATTTGATATTCGGTATTTATATTGGGCTCGATTAAATTCGCATTCGTGATGAGTAATCTCATATAGAGAGAGTAAAATGCTTCCTCACAAAGATAATTTTATACGCAAAACTAAAACTCAAAATATTTAGTTAAAGATAAAAAAATTATTTACTGCTCCATCACAATAGTTATGGGCGATTAGAGGGGAGTTGGATTAAAGGCTGAAACTGGAGAGAAAAGGGAATATGGAATCTAGTGGACGGTGTATCTGTTAGCACTTTGATTAGAGTGTTTGGTGATGTTTTTATTCCAATCTTTGTCTCCCAAATAATTCATAATTGTCGTATAATAACCAACTGCTCTTCAATCTTCTAGGGGAAGAAAAGGAGAGAGAAAAAAAACATAAAGTGATCATAGGTTGTCAACTTCATATCTTTTTTTACCAGCGTCTATAAGGCAGCTTAAGTTGTGGACATCATTTTCGGTATACAGCTACAGAGTAAGTTTTTTGTTGTTCTTGTTTGGCGATTCTTCACAGTTAGACAGCGAGATCTACGTACCTTTGTCAAAAGTAAGGGTGCTAAAGCACTCGTTAGTCGTTCTTTCTGTTTGTGATTGTGATTATCATGTCTATATGTTACTACAATGGATTTTATTAACATAATTTAGGAGGTATTATATGAAATGTCCAATCCAATCATCTCGACAACATATTGTTATGACTGTTAATCATAGAAGCTCGTTACGGAAATTTGATTTGACTGGTGATCCCGCCCAACTATGCCTCTTAAGAGGTCTAGCAGTCGTTGCAAATATAATCCGGTTTATAAGTGCGGAGTCGAATCCCACAGAAAATTAACCTACTAATTACAACCAGTAGACTCGCACGAATTCAAGTAATCAACCTTCAGAAATATTAAATAACGATTTGAATGTTTACTAACTAAGAGCAAAGTAATTAAAATGCAGTAATTTATAACTAACAGAGAAAAGGTTGTGGACAAGATTTGGAACAGTCTAAGGTTATGATTTCCCGTATTGTCTGAATCGTCCCCGCTACGCTTCCTATAAATTTGCCTAAGTATTCTCTACCGATCGTGAGTACTTTGAGTGTCGTAATTCTCTTCCAAGTAACTACAACAATTTACTAGACGTATTCTTCCGAACTACGCTAGCTGGCTCTAATTTACCGCTCACTAGGATCGCACCAAGGTTTCGTTATTCCTAATTCCATCTTTAAACCCTCCGTATTAATTCCTCACATACGTTAGGAGTGATGTTGTTCAACAATTACCTAAATATGTATTCTTTTTCAAGAAATACGCACTAAATAGGCAAAGTCGATTGAGAGCTCTTCAATCAACCACAATGTAAACGTAGTTGAATAAGTAGAAAAAAAAAAAACAAAGGCAAATCTATATTAAACTTAGTAGAAAATCATCCTCCAATAGGTTCTATCAAACCCTAGATTAGAAGTTTAGCTACTCATATTCGTAGTAATAATTTTTCAAGTATTTTGCATGAGCAAATTACAAAGAAAAGATGAAGGAATGAAGAACTCGATGATTTTCTCCTCCAAAAATTATTCCACATAATGTTCTTGCCTCCGGTCGTCAAAACTCTCCTAAAATGGTGTTTAATGACTATTTATATGTGTATCGACAAGACCTAGACAAAACAAAAGTCCAAAACCAAAAAAGAGACGAAATAGGCTTTTAAAATCCGGAACACCCTCGCTATAAGCTTCGGATCACGGCCTCTATCGCGAGCTCCATCTCGCTGTAACCCCGGCGGCGCAAGCTCAAACGCGAGCTTTAATCCTCGCCTCGCCTGCTATAACGCGAGCAAATTGGCTCGCTACACTTGCTGCTGCTTCGTTTCTCATTCTGCCTAACTTTTCCATTTCACATTTTCTCTTCTTTTTTCCAATTCTTCTTTTGTCTTCTTTTGATTTGTCTTCAATGTTGGCACAATAATATATCATAATATTTTCAGTCATCAAATAATTACGAACCATTCTTGTAATATATAAAATACACATAAAATCTCTACTTTGCTCCCAATTTCGCCTTCAACGTACCTACACATAAAATAAACTCAATTAAGCACAAATGTAGTATAGTTTAGCATTAAAGCCCCAAATGTAAGGTAAGTAATGCACTAAAAATATGGAATTTTAGCCAAACATCACTACTCCACACTTAAACGTTGCTCGTCCTCGAGCAATCAAACTACAATTTATATAGACACGACTTTTTAAAATAATTCTCCTAACTCATCACACCAAGAATCTTTAAAATAGACTAAGCACAAGGGTGTAACATCTTCACCTCAAGATTTGACTCGCAAGTACCATGCATTATTCACAACTTACTCACTTACTCTAAACATATAGGTCAATGACATTACATTTCCTTCATGAATCAAGTGCCCTCACACAACAAAAGAGAGTAGTTCCACACACAATAAAATTTAAGAACAATTAGGAACTCAAGATAGAAGGAATTCACTCACTCTCAGAAATAACATTCATATGCCACAAAAGATGCATCATAGAATTGCCTGTAGTGTACTACTCTACTAATCGAGCTCATTCAGTCTAGGATCAATCAGGACTTTAATTGGTTATAATGTAGGTTGCGGGTCGGGTAGGATACATTTGGATACAATAGTGACTACACCTCCCTAAGCACTTTAATACATATAATTTAACATTTAAAACTCCATACTTATGTCAAAACATAACTCCACATTCACATCAATGTATATTAACTCCATACTTCTTTAAGCACAATTATATCAAGAGTCACCACTGTCAAGGGATATTTTTCACAACAATACAACTATTTTTTTATTTCTTTTTCAATTCAAGTGGTTTATTTTTTCAAACAGTGCACCTTTCTCCTTATTTCATTAGATCCACTCAAAATCCAAACCAACCACCCCACACTTTAACTTTTACAAAGTTCATAACAATTCAAGTGCTCATGAGAGGTGAAAAGGTTCAAATAGATGGTTAATTCAAATAAATGGATAAGGCTTGTAATGTGGTTGTCAAAGAAACAAGATTACAGACTCATAGGGGTTAACTACGTTACATAACAATTAGGCGGATAAACTATATATGTCTGGCTCAACAAAGAAATGCCTATATCACTTCCAAGACTGAACAAAACTACTATTTCGCTTTGCAAACAACACGGGACAAGTTCTAGATATCAAATGCAATGCACATAATAACACACAAACCTCACACGCACATGGAACATAACTCACTCGGGATTGGTTTCATCAAGACACTCTAGTCAAAGCAGTTAGCAAAGTTAAGATTATACGATTTAAGGTATTTATACAAGAGTCAAAAACTGAGCCTAAGCGTCATAACCAAAGTACTCACTATTCTCAAGGCATAACAAAGTCAAGAGATATTGCTTCAATTCAATTCATATCACAATGGCTCCTACTCCTAAAAAAATTAAAACTAACTACACCCGATTCAAACAAAACCCTTGAAAAAGAACCGCGGTACAAAGAAAAACCAAGGAAGAATTACTACACTACTTACAAAGAAAATCTTTTTTTGTCCTTTTTCTTTAGACTTAAATCCCTCAAGAAAACTGTCTAGGAGATCCATCGTCGGGAAAAGTCCAATTTTTCAACTTTTTTTTTTTTCAAAAGTACTCACTTTTTCGATTTTTTTTCTATGCTAAAATAGAAAAGACGAAACTAAAAAAAATCAAAACAAGAAATAATTAGTGTATCTAATATCTACGAGTCACACCCCACACTTAATCTAGGCAATGTCCTCAGTGAATATATAAATTCACAAAAAAGAAAATAGTGGTATGAAAACTCCCTGATCAGTCCTCGTCATCGCTTTCATCTTCGAAGGCCCCATCTGTAGTTGTCCACACCTCATCCTCTGCTCCCTCCTCAGCATCATCATCATCCTCCTCCTCGGACTGCTCTGGCTCGGCCTCAGATTGCTCTGGTGTGTTGACATCCTCATCCTCTGGGAGTTGGTGGCCATCGCCAAGCCTAACCAGCTGCTGGGCATGAGCATTGAGCGGGAAATGCTCCTCCAAGATGGCCCTCTCTTATGTAATGGCCGGCCGTCCCCCAATCCTAAGCTGCAAGTCCATCATCCCATATAAATGGGCCAAAAAGTTGTCATCTCGAGCATTGCGCTCGGCACCTGTCAGTGAAGCCATAGCATTTTCTTCCTTAACCCGGATGCTTGTGACGTCCATTAGTCGTAGGGGCGGAGGAATGACTATATCAAAAGCTTTCTCCTCCTCCACCTCTTCTTTTCTTAGGCACTGAGTCAACATGTTCGCAAAGGACATTCGATCAATTCTCTTGCTTGTTCTCACTTGGGTCATCTGGTAGCGTATTAAGTGGCCCATATTTACTTTCTGGCCAGTCATTAGGAAGTATAACACGCATGTCTTTTCACGGCTAATAAGAGTGTCATGGTTGCATGGTAGTAGCCGCGTATTAATCAATTTCAACCACACATAAGCTTCTGACTTCATTTTTTTCTTAGGAAATTTCCTATGGCGATTGGTTTTCTTGTCACGAACCCAAGCCACCACAGAATTGACACTACAGAGAGTGTGTCTCAGTGCTCGATACGTTGGATGGGTGATGAAGTTGTCCAAGGGTTCCTGTGGAACATCCGGCGCACCTAAAATATTGCATATAGCTGATGTTGAAAAATCAATCAACCTTCCCCGAATAGGCACTGGCTGCTGAGGATCATTTGGATCAAAATCGACATAAAACTCCCGAACAAGGTTGACATTGATATCCCCGGTGTTTCTAAACACATAGCTCAACCCAATATCATGAATACCTTTCCAGATTGCTTGATACTTGGCTTGTAGGTGACACTCATGAACAGCTGACTCAGAATGTATATGTCTCGACCGACAACACTTGTACCAGTCCTTGACATTTGGGGGTATGCTCTTAAGTCCAAATTCTCGTTGTCCCCCAGGTTGTGGGCGAGTGGATGCTATAGCTGTAACTGCTTGCAATCCTTAAACATGGCTTGCAGTGGCTTCCCTTCCTTTTCTCTTTTTCAGTGGAGGTACGGAGGAAGCCTTGGCTTTGGACGGAGCAGTGGCTTTGCCCTTGCCTTTACCGTTATCCTTCTTAGGAGGCATGTTCATACCTACACACGTGAACATTAGTAAGTTTTAGACGCATTGAATCACTTCAAAACATGGTCTTTCGACCCCACACTTAAGAGTTCATCACATGATGTTCAACAATTTTTTAGGCTACTCAGACTTCACCTCGTTCTTTTCGCATGAGAATCAAGCACTGGCACAATGATATCTTCTACAATTTCGGAGCATCGGGATACCGGTGAGCCACCCCATACTTAAAATATCAAGTGGTGCATGGCGACATAGCACTAGTATTATAATCCCGGAGACTCGGGCTCCAATGGGGACAAAGAGTGCCTTTGAGGCATGTTGCCAAACACTTAGTGTACGCTAGTGTTGTCAGAATGGTTATAGGTATATGGGATTGCCTCACCCTCCCCAAATAGGCTTGGGGATTTCATGTTACTACCCTTGCACACAACAACAATACCAAACCTATGGGATTAGGATGAGCAAGCACGTTATTACTATGAAGATATACCCACAAGTTGTTGGATTTGCATTACTTAATTCTTGCCAAAGAAAAGAGTTAGAAACATACCTTAGATGCGTAGTAGGAGGGAATGCTCTTCAATTGATGTTGCAAGTGAGTGAAGGAATGTATGAGTGATTGTCTTCAATGGGGTTTATGAGATTGGGGCGGCAGTAGATAGGTTTGTGCAATTTAGGAATGGAGTGTGTTGTGAGATGGGAAAAATCGGATGGGCAGTGTATTTGTTTTAAGTGAGGCGTGTGTGTTTATGTTAAGGTTTAATGGGAATAAGTTAGAAGAAAAAAAAAGATTACAATGGGTTTCCTCCCAATGAGAGCCTTAGTTGACGTCACGGCATGACGAATACAACATTACAATGGGTTGCCTCCCACAAAGCGCCTGATTTAACGTCGTGGCACAATGCAGACAATCGAATCTAAGGTTCACTCAACATTTTTGGCTCATGCAAATAAGTCACTGATACCACTTTTTCCTCATTCATGCTTAAGTAATGTTTCAACCTTTGCCTAATAACACTAAACTTGCGAGAACCATCTTCTGATGCAATTTCTACGGCTCTGGTGGGATGCATCTCTCGCACATGGAATGATCCTGACCATCTTGACTTCAACTTGCCCGGAAACAACTTCAATCTCGAATTGTATAATAATACCACATCTCCGGGTTTAAAATTTTGCTCAAGAATGTTTTTGTCATGCACCAGCTTTATTCTTTCCTTACATAACCTTGTACTCTCAAAAGCATGGTAACTGAACTCATCAAGTTCATGCAGCTCTGTGACTCTACTCGTTCCAGCGGCCTCCAAGTCGAGATTTAATTATCGTAACGCCTAGAAGGCTTTATGCTCTAACTCCACCGGTAAGTGACATGCCTTTCCAAACACCAATTTGTACTGTGACATACGAATCGGAGTTTTGAATGCAGTGCGGTAGGCCCATAGCGCATCATCCAATTTTCTCACCCAATCAGTACGAGTAGCATTTACAGCTTTGGTCAAAATACTCTTGATTTCTATGTTTGACACCTCTACTTGCCCACTTGTTTGTGGGTGGTACGGAGTGGCAACCTTATGACGAACGCCATATTTCTCCAACAAATTTGCAAAGGCTCAGTTGCAGAAGTGGGTGCCTCAATCACTGATGATCGCTCTTGGAGTACCAAATCAGGTGAAGATATATTTTCTCAGGAAACCAATAACTCCCTTCGCATCATTTGTTGGAAGTGCCACGGCTTCTACCCATTTCGAGACATAGTCCACGGCTACCAGTATGTACTTCTTACTATATGAGATGACAAATGGTCCCATAAAATCGATTCCCCATACATCAAATACTTCCACCTCTTGAATTGGGCTCATGGGCATCTCATGTCAGCGAAAAATATTCCCCATCCGTTGGTACTCATCATAGCTTTTCACCCAGAAGTGTGCATCTTTAAACAATGTTGGCCAATAAAAACTCAACTCCAGCACTTTAGCAGTTGTCCTTACTCCTCCAAAATGACCTCCATACGGGGAAGCATGACATGCTTGCAAAACAGAAGGTTGGTATATCTCGGGAATGCATCTTCGGATCATATTATCAATACAAATCCTAAAGAAATATGGTTTATCCCAGAAATACATGCGACAATCACGAAAGAACTTTTTCTTTTGCATAGAGGACAAGTCATAGGGAACAATACCGCTTGCCAGGTAATTTGCAATATCTGCATACCATGGCGTTACCTCAAAGCTCGTGGCTAAAAGTTGTTCATCTGGGAAAGTCTCCATGATCTCTTCCACCTCAACCTTCTTTTCAGCTCCTTCAAGCCTGGACAAATGATCAGCAACTTGGTTTTCCGTTCCCTTTCGGTCACAGATTTCCAAGTCGAACTCTTGCAGCAGTAGCACCCATCAAATTAGGTGTGTCTTTGACTCCTTCTTCTGAATTAGGTACCTGAGAGCAGCATGATCAGTATAAACATTTGAGCCTATCAGGTATGACATGAATTTGTTAAACGTGAACACCACTGCTAGCATCTCTTTCTCTGTCACTGTGTAATTCAGTTGGGCACCATTCAAGGTTCTACTTGCATAGTAGATCGAATGCATGACTTTATCTTTTCTCTGCCCAAGAACTGCTCCCACAGAATAGTCGTTTGCATCACACATCAGCTCAAAAGGTTGTCCCCAGTCAGGTGCCACTATGATTGGTGCAGTAACCAGTCTCTTCTTCAACTCCTCAAATGCTACCCTGCAGTCATCAGAAAATACAAAGGGGTGATCTTTTACAAGCAATTTACACAAAGGGTTAGAAATTTTGGAGAAATCTTTTATAAACCGCTTGTAGAAGCCGGAATGAAGGTTCTACTTGCATAGTAGATCGGATGCATGACTTTATCTTTTCTCTGCCCAAGAACTGCTCCCACAGCATAGTCGTTTGCATTATACATCAGCTCAAAAGGTTGTCCCCAGTCGGGTGCCACTATGATTGGTGCAGTCACCAGTCTCTTCTTCAACTCCTCAAACACTACCTTGCAGTCATCAGAAAACACAAAGGGGTTATCTTTTTCAAGCAATTTACACAAAGATTGGCAATTTTGGAGAAATCTTTTATAAACTACCTGTAGAAGCCGGCGTGACCAAGAAAATTTCTTATGGCCTTGACAGAAGTGGGTGGAGGTAACTTCTCAATTATATCAACCTTAGCACGGTCCACTTCAATGCCCTTACTTGACACTAGATGTCCCAAGACTATACCTTCATGTACCATGAAATGATATTTTCCTAGTTCAGCATCAGATTAGTCTCCATACACCTCTTCAATACTCTTTTCAAGTTCATAAGGCAATCATCGAATGAGTTCCCCACCACTGAGAAGTCATTCATGAAAACCTCCATTATTTCCTCTACCATATCTGTAAAAATGGCTATCATGCACCTTTGGAATGTGGCGGGTGTGTTGCATAGGCCAAACGGCATTCTCCGAAAGGAATAGATGCCATACCGTCAGGTGAACGACATTTTCTCTCTATCCTCTGGGGCAATAGATCTGGTTATACCCTGAGTATCCATCCAGAAATGAAAAATGGGACCTCCCCGCTAATCTGTCTAGCATCTGATCAATGAATGGCAGCGGAAAATGGTCTTTTCGGGTGGTCTTGTTCAATCTTCTGTAGTCCATGCAAATTCGTCATCCCGTGACTGTTCTTATTGAGATCAGCTCGTTGTTCTCGTTTTGCACCACTGTCATTTTACCTTTCTTTGGCACACACTGAACTGGGCTAACCTAGTTGCTGTCGGAGATGGGGAAAATGATTCCCGCAACTAACCACTTGATCACCTCCTTTTTCACGACTTCTTTCATGTAGGGGTTCAGCCTTCTTTGATGTTCTCTGGAAGGTTTGTACCCATCTTCCAGTAAAATCTTGTGCATATAGAAGGCCGGGCTGACACCCTTAATATCTGCAATGGTCCAACCAATTGCAGTTTTGCACTCTATCAACACCTGCAAAAGCTGTTCTACCTGCACATCTAACAAACCAGATGAGATAATAAAAGGTAAAGTCGAGTTAGGTCCCAAGAATGCATACCTGAGGTGAGATGGTAGCGACTTTAATTTCAACTGTGGTGGCTCTTCGATCGATGGCTTAGATGGAGGATTCCTTCTCTCTTCTAAGTGTAAAGACTCAAATTTGGGCTCTCTTTTCTAGTACCATTGACCTTCAAGAGCCAACACCCACTCTACCAAGTCCTCACCATTTACCTCTTCTAAGTTCATGAGGCAGGCCGCAAGAGGATCTTTTGCATTAAGTGCCTCATCATCTTCCTCCATTATCACATCCACAGCTTCTATCAAAGAGCAATTTGCAAACTCACTGGGTCGCCGCATAGACTTTTGGACATTAAATGTTATTTCTTCATCATTCAATCTCATCTTTAGCTTTCCAGTTTCACAATCAGTTAGAGCTCTCCCAGTGGCCAAGAATGGCCTTCCCAAAATTATGGGAATCTCTTCGTCAACACGGTAGTCCAGAATGACAAAATCTACCGGAAACACAAACTTTCCAACCTGCACCAGTACATCATCCAGTATACCTGATGGCCTCTTCACCGTTCAGTCGGCTAGCTATAGTAACATGGACGTGGGTCTTGCTCTTCCAATTACTAACCTTTTATAGATAGCCAAGGGCATCAAGTTTATGCTCGCCCCCAAATCACACAATGGTTTAGTAAAAGCATAGCTGCCTATTGTGCATAGGATTGTGAAACTCCCTGGGTCGGACAACTTCTCAGCTATGGGTCTCGTCGCAACAGCACTGCATATCTGAGTTAGTGTAACAGTGGCCAAGTCTTGAACGTCAAACTTGCGAGACATCAAGTCCTTCAACCTTTTTGCATACCCAGGCATCTCCCTCAAGGCGTCAATCAATGGAATGTCCACCTGGATTTTGTTTAACATCTCCATGAATTTTTTATACTGCTCATTCTTCTGATATTTGGCCAATCTCTGTGGGAAGGGTGCTGGAGGTCGCTTCTTTCCTGTGACTTGAGTTTGATCCTGCTAGGGCACTGTTTCTAATGCCTTCTCTTGCACTACCTCAGTCTCCTTCGCAGCCTCTTTTTATTTGCTTGTTTCCTCTTGTGCATGTTGTACTGTTACCTCTATTAACCCTATTGAATCATCTACCTCAATTGGTACTGGCACAAGTATCTCAGTTTGTCGGCTTCCGCGAGTAATTTCTTACTCTAGATCAAGATCTCTACCATTTCTTAGACTCACCGCCATAAGCTGCTTCGGGCCCTGCTCTTTTGGATTGACATGTGTGTTTGCATGTAACGTCCCTTGGGTCGATTATTCAGAGCCATTGATATCTTCCCTAATTGAATCTCAATGCCTTTTATCGATGAGTCATCTGCTTCCACCTTCTCTTGTATTTTTCCATTGGACCCATTCAATTATTGCAGCATTCCTTTAATTTCAGACAACCCATCATCTTGTCTCAGTATCTGTTGTTGTTGAGGCTGTTGATAAGCTAGCTACTGATTTTTCTGATTGTATCCCTGTTGCCTTTGGTAAGGCACAACTTGACCTTGTGGTCGCATAGCTCCAGGATTGTTATTATTATTGTACTGCTGATGTGCTGGTCTATACTAATGTTTCTGCTGCCCCCAATTCTAACCACCTTGCCTCTGTCCTCCATAGTTGCCCACATAGTTCATATTTTCCTGATAGTTCTGGTTGTCACTTTCACCATTCCACGAGCACACATATGGTTGGTTAATACATGGTGTACATAAGCCTCCATTAGTCGGGTCAACTACATGTACCTGCTTCTGGCCTGATTCGTCAATCTTCTTGGTGAGGATACTCATTTGCGTCATCAGAGTGGCCATATTCTCGGCTATGGAATTGTTTGGGTCCAAAGCCACTAAGTGAACTCAGAGGTGATTGTAGTGTCTCTTGTCATCCATCCTGAGTTTTGAGCCATTTTATCTAGCAGGACTTTACACTCTCTAAATGATTTGCTAAAAAATGCTCCTCCTACTGAAGCATCAACATCGGCCTTCAAGCTATCTGCCAATCCCATATAAAACCTTTGTCCCAACATCTGATCTGGAATGCCATGATGTGGACACTTAACCAGCATCCCCTTGAACCTCTCCCACGTTTCTTGTAGTGTTTCAGCTGATTTCTGCCTGAAGCTCAATATCTCACCAACTTGCTTGGTAGTCTTATTTGGCGGGTAGAACTTGTTCAAGAATTGCTTGACCAATTCCTCCTATGTGGTGATGGAATTTATGGGGAGAGATTTGATCCAAGTATGAGCTTCTCCAGTCACTGAGAATGGAAACAATAATAGTCTGATTGCTTCCTGTGTCACATTCGGATGCCTTTGAGTGACACAAATTGACAAAAAGTTTTTCAGATACTGCTGTGGATCTTCAATGTATGACTCTAAGAATAGTCCCTTGTTTTGCAGTAGATGTAGCATGTTATTTATGATTTGAAATAACTCCGCTTGTATCTGCGGGACTGTAATTGCGGTTGTCAGATTTTCAGTGGTGGGTTGTGCCCAATCATACAAGGTCACTTCTGGCACAAGAGGTGCCACACCCTGATTATTCGGGTCAATCACATTGTTTCGGTTATTTTGGTCGTCTATGACGTCACCCATGTCTAGTTCGATTCGTTCTGTTAAGTTTTGTTGTCGTTTGTCCTTCTTGTTTGCATGATTTAATGCCTAAAAAACTTTTTCAGGATTCGATAATGCTTCAAACAATTCACCAGTTCTTGAGGAATTTCTAGGCATGCACATGTAACA